AATTTAGAGAACTACCCATATGGTACTAAATCCACCGATCATCTTAGTGGGGCTTTGCATGTAGGGTTTAGGGGGTAAGTGGGGGCTTTTGCTTGGCAGATCCGGCTTAAAGGGAACTGGTGACTTGGTTGCCAATTTATTGTTCCCAGACCCCAATACCCCTTAATTAAGGANNAGGAATATACCCTTAAATCATAATATTAAGGCCCCCATAGTTTAAGGTGTATCCCTTAATCAAGGGGTATTGGGTTCTCTGGGTTGGGCTTGTAATACTTACTGTACTGCTAACTTTTCCCCTGATCCTCGAAGTACTGATGCTTCAATAGCCCAGCCTTGCCAGAGGTAACCATGAACCGGTGCCACTCGATGACGCCTTCACCGGCACCGCGTCTTTAGCTTCGGGGTCCGTTCTCTCAGCGCTCGCGGGCCGCTTGCAGCTGAGGCACGCTCAACAGAGAAGAGCGACTGATGCAGCTGGTAGTTCCAGGCAACGCTGATCTGATGCCTTGCTTGGAGGTTCATGGGTAGTTATAAGTGGAGTTATAAGTAAGCTAATTATAATTATAACCCATATTAGGGGGCTTATAACCCTACTTATAACTACCCATGAACCTCCAAGTGGGGGTGATGCAGTCAGGGGCGGCCAGCGAGGTGAATGATACACACCAACACCCTGATTCCAATTGTTTTAAGGCTCCTATGATTAGGGCTTTAGGAGCTTAGGCTTTCTGGAGTTCAGGGCTTTCGGATGCCCAAGGTTGCCCAAATGCCGATGAGGAGCCACGGAGAGTCCCTCCTTGAAGCGAAGAAGCGCGACAAGTAATCCTGTTCGGGCCCGTTCCCTGCGATGTGGCAGGGATGGTTCTTGCCTCAGACACGCCATGCGAGGCTCTTCTTGAAGAACAAACTTGGAGGTTCATGGGTAGTTATAAAGTAGGGTTATAAGTCCCCTAATATGGGTTATAAGCTCCACTTGTAACTACCCATGAACCTCCAAGTACTTCAGTCAACACATTAGGGATGTTAATGATATACAGGACCTACAGTACTTCCAGCGCACAGCCTGCATGGTGAGGAAACTGTCACGCACATGTCATTGGGTGAATGCATGGAGCACACAGCCTGCCATACAAGGAAACCTGGAAATTCTCGCACACATGTTACTTGTTCGCACTTCGACCACACACGCAACTTGCACAATCACGGAACTGTCGCCCACATGTTACTTGTTCGTACTTCGAGCCCTTGCACAGTAAGGAAACTGTCACGTCACGCACCTATTGCTTATTCATACTTCGAGCACACAACCTGCACAAACACACTATCTGCACGCTAAGCAAACTGTCACGCAGCACATTTTGCTTACAAATCGAGCACACACACCCTGCACGGTAAGGAAACTGTCATTGAAGATGTTGCTTGCTCATTCTTCGGGCACCCAGGCTTCACGAAAAGGAAACTGTCATGCACATCTTTCTTGAACTTTTTTCGAGCACACAGCCTGCACGGTAAGGAGCTTGTCACGCATCTGTTATTTATGTATTCTTCGAGCACACATTCTGCAGGCTGGGCTGAATTTCACGCTCATGTTGCTGGGTTCGTTCATGGAGCACACAAGCTGCAAGGTAAGGAAACTGTCACACACATCTTGCTCCTGCATACTTGGAGCACACAGCCTGCACGGTAAGGAAACTGTCATGTCACACACATGTTGCTAGCTCGCACTTCGGGCACACACCCCCTGTACGGTCAGGAATCTGTCACGCACATGTTGCTTGTTCGCACTTTGAGCACACATGCAACGAGCACAATGAGAAACATGTCACGCACATGTTGCTAGCTCGCACTTCGAGCATACAACCTGCACAAGCACACGACCTGCACGGTACGGAAACTGCTGCACACATGTTGCTTGTTTATACTTCGAGCACACATTCTGCAGGCTAGGCAAGCTTTCACACACATTTTGCTGGGTCCGTACATGGACCACACAACCTGCATGGTAAGGAAACTGTCGCGCACATGTTGTTCAATCGTACTTCGAGCATGCAGCTTGCCCGGCAAGGAAATTGATGTGGCTGGGTGCGTTCATGGAGCACACAGCCTGCAGTGCAAGGAAACTGTCATGCACATCTTTAATATTTCGAGCACACAGCCTGAACGGTAAGGCAACTGTCACGCGCATCTTGCTCGTTTGTACTTCGAACCCGAAACCTGCATGGTAAGGAACGTGTCACGCACATGTTGCTGGGTGAGTACAGGAATGACACAGCCTGCAATGTGCATACTGGAGCACACAGTCTGCGCGGTAAGGAACGGTAAGGAAACGGTCACGCACATGATGCTTGTTCGTGCTTTGAGCACACAACCTTCACGGTAAAGAAACTGTCAAGCACTTTTTGCTTAAGGGAAGCTCGTGCACCCAGCCTGTACGGTAAGGAAACTGTCACGCACATCTTTCTTCTGCGTACTGTGAGCGCACAGCCTGAATGGTAAGGAAACTGCCGCGCACATGTTGCTTGTTTGTTATGTTACACATATTGCTTGATCATACTTCGAGCACACAACCTGCACAAGCACACAACCTGCACGCTAAGAAAACTGTCACGCAGCACGTTTTGCTTACACTACGAGCACACACACCCTGGACGGTAAGGAAACTGTCATTGCAGATGTTGCTTGCTCTTTCTTCGGGCACCCAGGCTTCACGAAAAAGGAATTTGTCACGTATATCATGACATTTCGTGCTTCGAGGACACAACCTGCACGATAAAGCAACTGTCACACACATGTTGTTCGCTCGTACTTCGAGCATGCAGCCTGCACGGTGAGGATACTGTTACGCACATGCTGCTGGGTGCGTACATGGAGCACAAAGCCTGCAGTGCAAGGAAACTGTCACGCACATCTTGCTCGTGCATACTTGGAGCGCACAGCCTGCGCGGTAAGGACACTGCCACGCACATGTTGCTTGTTCGTATTTCGAGCACGTGTGCAACCTGCACAAGCAGGAAACTGTCACACACGTTGCTGGTTCGTGCTGACAAACATATTGCTCGTTCTTACCTGGCGCAAACAACCTGCACAAATATGCAACTTGCACGGTAAGGAAACTGTCATGCACATGTTGCTTTTTCACACTTCGAGCACACCTCCCCCTGCATGGTAAGGAAACTGCCACACAGATGTTGTTTGCTCGTTCTTCGGGCACCCAGCCTGCTCTGTAAGGAAACTGTCACGGAAATGTTGACATGTTCGTACTTCGAGCACGCAGCCTGAACGGTTAGGAAATTGTCATGCACATGTTGCTTGTTCGTGCTGCGAGCACACAGTCTGAAGGCTAGGCTAACTTTCACGCGCACGTTGCTGGGTTCCACATGGAGCACACATCCTGTATGGTAAGGAATTGTCACGCACATGTTGTTCCCTCGTACAGTAACACTCTTTCCAATGATACGCAAAGCAGGTTCCGTAACAAGAAAACAGCGTGGGCTCGCAGAGTGACGACGCAACGGTTCTGAAAGCCGACGCAAGTGAAGGAAAGCTGAGGATGCCGCAGGTCACCTGTCACGGTTTGGGGTGTATCCGATTTTGGGACTAAGCTTTAGGATGTTTTAAGTTAAGTGAAATGGGCCCGGTGTCGTATAGAAGAGCTCCAGAGCTCTGGGGTTGAGGGTTTAGGCTTTTGAGTTTCGAGTTGCCGGCGTAGGGTTTAGCGCTTGGGTGTGTTAGGGTTTAGGTTTAACGTTTAGGGTGACTTCCAAAAATCTTCCAAGCTTTGACTGATCAAGGGTACTTAGTAAATGGCCCAGAGCTTAGGCTTTACTTACCCAACTGAAGGTTGAAGTACTTACAGCCCCCAAACCAAACCCTAAACCCACAAGGCTAAGCCCTGAAGCCTTAACAAGTAGAATAGGGTCTTGGGGCCCATTATAGTATAATTACAATAAGGAACCACCCAAAATAGTACAGGTAATCATGTAGGCCCCTATAGTAAGCACTCAGCAGCCCAACCTCCGAGGTCATCTGCTGGAACATCTCAGCATCAGGCTGCAGAAGTATCACGCCCGCGTTGATGCCGCCCGTCTGCCCCCAAGGATATTCCTGCGGTTGAGGGTTTAGGGTTTTGGGTTTACGGTCGGCAAAAAAAACTGAAAAAAAGGGAGGGCACCAACAACGAAAAAGGGCTCTGCGTATTCTTTTGTCAGGGTGATGAACACCTTGTGGATATCCCCAAGAACACCCGGACAACGCCTTGAGAAGACTCTTTATAAGCCTCATATCTAAAATAATCTTAGTTTAGGAGCCTTAATAACTAGAATAAGGTTTGGGGCCCAGTATGCTGTAATTAAAACAAGGAACGCCCCAAAATAGTATTGGTAATTATGTAGGCCCTTACATTAGATGACTACCGGACCTGAAAACACCCAAGATGGTTTTAGCAGTCCTGGTGGTCTCCCCCGGCGAAAAACCTCCTGCCGTCCACCTCTTTGCCATGGTCGTTCTCCTGGGCACACGGCGGGTACTCAGAGAAAAACCACCAACTATCGGTTTAGGGCTTAGGGTTTAGGGATAAACAGGCTCACAATCCTAACAACAATAGCAACAAAAGCAATCATAAGAGATACCAAACCGCAAAAAGAATGAGACTGAGACGGGCACCACGAATAATGACACAGAAGCGTCGGGCTGCAGCCTTCAAAGGGTTTCGGGCTCGGGGCTCCGGGTCAGGAACGAGATGGAGGATTCAGCTGTTGCTTCAACGGCCAAAAGGGCTTATGGTTTAGGGTTTAGGGTTTAGGGTTTAGGGTTTAGGGTTTAGGGTTTAGGGCCCCCTGAATGCCCCTGAGCATTCAGGGTAAACAGCCGTAGGAGTGCCTGGCTAAGGCACCCACACAAAAGTGCAACAGGATTGACAAGATTAAGAATAAGAGCGACAATGATAGCACACAGACGATGATAATGATACTGCCCGCTTTGGTAACAATACTAATGCTGATAATGAACATGCTACTACCAACAATTAACACAATAATCATGCATGAAACCATCATCGTCCTCATCAAAACAATAGTCATAGTAGTAGTAGTAGTAGTAGTAGTAGTAGTAGTAGTGGTAGTGGTAGTGGTAGTGCTAGTGCTAGTGCTAGTGCTAGTGCTAGTGCTAGTGCTAGTGCTAGTGGTAGTGGTAGTGGTAGTGGTAGTGGTAGTGGTAGTGGTAGTGGTAGTGGTAGTGGTAGTGGTAGTGGTAGTGGTA